GGTAAGTCTCCACTGAAGGCCCAGGTACCAAATACACGGCTTGCCACTGCCTTCCACCATCCAAAGGCTTTGTTACAGTGCATGTGCCAGGACACTTCCACAGTTGTGAAGACCTCCAGTCATGCAGCTTGTGAGCTGAAGTGTCCTGGCACATGCACTGTAACAAAGCCTGTGGACGAGGTGACCTAGCTTGGTATATAAACAAGGAGCTGCATGATTTTCTTTCTTACATCGGTGTTCCTCAGGAGGGTTGACAGGACTGAGTCTTCCCAGGGTCCCACTGATGGTTTGAGGTGTAATATGAAGGCTTGTTTCATCTCTCAGTGAAAGTCTCCAGATCTTGAATTTGGGGCAAAAAATATACTGTGCAGAAAAGAAGTGAGTGCAGTCTATTGGATCTAGCAGCCTGTCTGCCTCAAGACTGTGGAGGACATCGCAGTAGATGTTTGACATATTCTAAAATAGTTCACAGGCCCCTCTATCCTGAAAAAGACAAAGTGGCCTGGCTGTGTTTTGGTAAACAAAACAGAACTCAATATAATATAGTGTTTTGGTATTATACAGCTATCTTGCAAGTTCAAGTTGGGTTTTCAAACGGCCCTCCTATAATTGCAAACCCACGAACATAACTCAATACTATTTATTCTACTTTTATTTCTTAAATGGTAGGGGCATTCACCATTAGGTGAGAAACAGTATTTTAGTTTTTCTGTATGTCCTGCACATGTAGTGAATTGACAATAAGACATCTTTGATCTTGAAGCCGAATTAGATGTTTTAGTGAATTGTACAACTCAATGCTACTGATAGATTTGAGTCAACAACACTGGTGTAGTCTTTAATGCACTAAAATTGCTTAATCAAATTAAATGTTTTACTTATTTCAGTATTATTTTTTTATATCAAAAGCAAAACAAGAATGTACCTGGATGGAAGGCCGGGCTTCTCTGCAGCTTCAAGAATGACTCCAAAGCTGGGGATGCCGTGTTGTTATTGGCCCTTTGCAGGAACACACCTATGACAAATTTAGAATTAAATCGGTATAGGCTATTCAGAGTTGCTTACAAGTCATCTTCTGCAAGCTTTCCTGCTCTTAAGATACTTTAATTAAAATTTAGATGACAATTCAGGGATGCACAAACCTCTCTGGAAACTCTGTTAATTCACTGAACATAACAACCTGTATCTGTACAGTGAAAACAGAGGCACACACAGAGTGGTTTTTACCTTGTTACCCAACAAGTCCACAGTGAATTTAAACTAAATATTTGCCAGCTGTACTGTTAGTGTTGACTTCTTTTCATTTTCACTTGAGAGCAATAATGGTTAATCATTATGGAGTTACGATGTTGGCCATAAACACTACAGAAGCAACACTGGAGGTTTTTTATAAAGCAGTACAGGTTTGGTCAACCTTCGGTTTAAGGCACAATAACTAACCATTATCATACAATAAATACAAGTGTTATACACACTACAGTTCATTCTGGCCCCTTTTCTTCTTACATGTGGTGGATACAAATGCCGAGTGAAGCCAGCCTTCCAGCTGCTCGCAGAAATGCCATATGACAAACTAGGTTTGTTAGTGAGGAGGAAAAAAGGGTCAGATTTGAATAAGGAATGAAATGTCTTACACAATTACACTGACCAGCGACTTTATTAGGTACACCTGTACAATTTCACTGAAAGCTAAAACATTTTGAGCTTCATAAACATGGTAAAGCAGAAGTGTTGTGTTCAAGTTCATACAATTGTGCAGGTGTAGTTAAAGTGGCCAGGCAGTGTATATTGCATTTCATGTTAGTTTACTTAAAATATGAGAATTTTCATTACAATTTAGATCAAAGTTTTGAAAATAGTTTAGCAAAAAAGAAATGATTTGAGAAGTGACAGTTTGACCTGAACTTGTCAGATGTAGAAGAATAATAGTGCTCTCTCTCACTTGAACCACCACACTTAAAATGCATTTCTCACCTCATCAACCAGTGGTTGGTGTTGATGTGTAGGAGTGATGGGGGGGGGCCCAGAACACTGTCAGCCCTTCTCACAACACACCCAAGGCTGTCTATAAGGTGCATGAAATCCCATACTCTCATCCACTGCCTGATGCTCTCAGATGTCCTCACTATTCTGTGGACAGTGAAGAAGAGTTAGTCCTATATTGTTATAACAATTCACAATTTCTATGTGTTACAGAAAGACAAACTAATACATTTCATATAAAGCATGAGGAATCCAGGGGGGAAATGGCTAAATCAACACCTTTTACTAAATACAGATTTACTGAAGGGCTATTCTTTATTCTGACTTCTCTGTATATTATTCCTGTTGAGGTTAAATTTGGGTCTTACTCATTTTTCTTTAATATTTTTAGAACATCTGAGCCTATCCTCACATCTTTACTTTTCCTTCATATAGCCTATGTTATAATGGCACTGAAACTTGGTGGGAAAAAAGTAGTAGAAAATATCCACATTCACTCAAGCTTACTCACAGTAAGTACAATTTTGAGCTATCTGTACTTTCATATCTTACCATACCATTTTACTGTACTACATTTATTTGATAACTTTAGTTTCTAGTTGTCACAGTCAATGAATAACAGAACATATGTTATAGGCCTAATTATAAGACCTCTGGTGGGAAATTCCCAAGCAGTTCAAATTATAAGGTAGTTAAAATTACCAGCTCTACTTTTACCAGCTGCAACAGTAAAGGGACGGACAAAACAATGCAGATAATTATAGTCAAATAATATGATTTACATTAACATGAAATGTGCCATTCTTCATAATGACTACTTTTACTTTTGAGTCTTTAAGTATATTTTGATGCAAATACTTTTGTACTATTTTGAATGCAGGACTTTTACCTGTAACAGATCTATATATTGATACTTTGGGTTTTGGCTTAATGAGAGAGTACAACCGAGAGACACTTGTGACTTGGCATGAAAAAGGTCTTCTTATGTAATCCATGGACAGACTACAAGTCTTGTTTGCGTATACAACATCTCGTGGAATACGTTATATCGCCACCTAATGTTACGTTGTTTAAAATAATGAGATCAGCTGGTTTTACAAAAGAAAAGATGTCTCACTCTGTTGGGGTGTTGTAACTGCAGAAACAATCATCTGATTATTCAGCGGTGTTACAGAGCGATGCTTCTTTACCTCAGGTCTAAGAACGCCTAGGATTGGTACTTGTATCTTGAGTTGTATCCTTACATGTAATTTGCTACTTTCTATCTGTACACAGATGTTCACAAACATCCTGAATTATTTTTTGTAACAATTTGTTTACGGACTTTATTCACACATTCTAAATGTTTTTACAAGTTAATCTTTTTGATCCTGTATTGAGCCCACACAGATTTGTTTTTAACCTGATGACACTACATGAAGAGGGGATGGGGGGAAATCTATTTTCAGGTCTTGGGGACTGCTACTACATACAGTATGTGGAAAAATGTTGCATAAAAACCCTTTTGTGGGTCCTCAGGGAACTGCACGGAGCTGATATGGCCTCAAGTTATGCCACCCGATTCATCATCACTTGAGTTTGTAGACTACAAATTTGAAAATAACATAAAAAAAATAATCTGGGGTGAGACGTTTGACAGAAGTGAGGGTGTGGCTCACTCATCTCTGCTTGAGGAAAGCAACTCAAGGCTACCATTAGCTGCTACAAGCATAACAGCAGTTGCTACAGCTTTTCAACTGTGGTTTCAGTGGCCAAGTTGTGGTTAATGTGGGTGCCAGATTTAGACAAGGAAGAAAAATGTATGGAATAATATAGACAATATCTCTGGTGGTGCCACTTAAATTTTGATATTTTTTTTTTAGAGGTGCAACGCTAACTCAGTAGCATAGTCTTGTAAGGGATCACAAAAGTTATTCTAGTTGGACCTCTGACTTGTTGAGCCATTTCACAGAGAAAAACACAAATGTGAAGCTTGAGGAAAAAGCCAGACCTAATAACCAGCATTATTAGGTTCACCCCCTGGGGACCATGGATATTTGTGCCAAATTTTATATCGGCCCATCCACTTGTTGTAGATTTGTGTTTCAGTTGTATTGCCTTCATGGAGCCATGCCCCTAGTTAATGTCAGTATCTAGAAGAGAATTATAAATAAAGTCAAGAAATCACCAGCCTCCAGGCAGCTAATTTGCTTTCCAGAGAGATCATGACACTACTTATACTGCAGGTGAAATCAGTGCAGAGGTCAGCCAGAGGGACATATTGGTTCATAACA